ATTAAAAATTATTAAAATTGTAAAAAATATTATTGATTCTTATTAAAAATTAGTTAATTAATTTTTTTAATAATTGAACTAGTGGAAAAATTCAAATAATAAATAATAGATACTAATTTTGAAACTTTTATCAGTTAATTACAGAAAAGTGTAATTAATAAATTAAATAAAAACTTACATAATCTAGACTATTTTTGAAAATTTTTAAGTTTTCTTTTCCCTTTCTTAATTTTGTCTTTAAAAATAAATATTCAAGAAAATATTGAGTTAAAAGTATTCAATTTCTAAATACTTTGTCACTTAATATATATAATATAATTTGTCACATTTACAACTTATAAATAACACTAAAATCTACAAACACAGAATTTTTTTGTTTTTATGGCGGACCTATTTTAAAAGATATAAAAGTTTAAAAATTGCTGTTTGAAAAAACTGTTTTGATCACGTTTTGATCACAGTTTTTACATTAAAAACAAACTTCAATTAAAAGAGAATAAAGTACTTTAACCTGAAAAAAGTTTGATTCGGTTCACAAAAATTCGATGTGATTCAAAAGCTGCCATGAAAGTGATAAATTTTTTTATTTTTCTTTAACGAAAATATTAAATTGCAAAGTACGCAAAAATTCAGAAATCGATAACCTTTTAAAATTAATATATCTTGTTCTTGTATAATTAAAAAAAATTAAAAAAGTCACAAGAACACCTAAAAACGTAGAGACTAATGTAGGTACTTAATGGATTTGTAAAATATTCTAGAACATCATTAATTGTGTTAAAATCGTAATATAAATTGCAGGACATTTCAATACATTTAGTACTTTTTAAAATATTTGGATTTAAACACACGTAGAGCCTGAAGTACTAAATAGTTAAATACCTATACTAAGACTTTATTTTTCTTAAGTTAATTTATATTGTATTATTAATTTTTAAGCAGTATTTCTGTATATATACTACTCTGGTTTGAATTTTTTTTTAGTTATTATGAGTGTATCCTTATTAATAAAATCAGACTTTTGTCTGTACATTGCATAGAATTCAAAATTTCTATTATATTCCTTCTTTTTACACTCTAAGGAATGCGAAAATACTATTAAGAAAATTATGTGTGTATGTGTATATGTGTGTATGTGTGTATGTGTGTATGTGTGTATGTATGTCCGCAAATTTTCGACCGCGTATCACGGAAGAACGGTTCAATCGTTTGAAGTGAAACTTGGCAGTCTTTTAGGCATTAGCCTAACTTAAAATCCTAGAGATAGTAGATTAAAAAATATTAATATGGACGAAAGTTATGCCACTTTTTCAAAAATTCGAAAATTCGAAATTTTTAGTTTTCTCATATACTTTAGTGAATTGTACTTAAACTTGGTACAGGGTTAATTTTAGTGTTTCTTATGAAGATTTAATCGTCAGAATAATAAAATTTTGAATAACAAATAAAAAGTGTTAGATTTAAATATTGAAAAATTAAAAAGTTTAAAAATTGAAATTTTTTTGTAATTAATTTTTATACGGTTGTATTTCTTAGGTCAACAATAAAAATTTGTTGTTGAAATCATAAGTTTACTTTCTTAAAAGAATTCTATTAGGTCAGAATATTAACAATATCCATATAATTAATATAAGACTTTTGTCAGTATGTTGCACAGAATTCAAAATTGCTATTATATTTTATTAATTAATGATCAAAAAATGAAAAACTCAAATTTCATTCTGATGACTAAATTGTAATAAAAAATACTAAAATTAACCCTGTATAAAATTTAAGTAAAATTAATGACAATAATTATTTCAAAAGATAAATTTTGAATTTTAAAAATTTTGAAAATATATAGCACTAGCTGTCATGTCGTACCCGTCTTCGACGGGTTTTAGTTTCTACCAATACATTTAACAATGTTTCTACCAATCTGCGGAAAATCAAAAATACCCGGGATAAATTAATTAATAATTAATAATTAATAATTAATAATTAGTTAATTAATAATAATTAATAATTAGTTAATAATTAATTAATTAATAATTAGTTACCATTAGCTATTTCGGTAGTATAATTATACTATTTGAATAGTCTCCACCCTTTAGCAAAAAATCAAAAATTATCAAAAATTCGAGAAACCGAATTTCTTAAAATTTAACATTTTTTTCTTCTCTTTTATATCATTAAGCTTCATTATTTTTGTACTCTTCAAAAATACTTTACTTATATTTAATAGTCTCCACCCTTTGGTAAAAAATCTAAAATTATGGAAAATTAGCAAAAATTCATAAAACCGAATTTATTAAAATTCAACATTTTTTCTTCTCTTTTATGGCTTTTGGCTTCATTATTTTTGGGCTCTTCAAAAATACTTTACCTAATTTGTTATCTCCACCCTTTGGTAAAAATTTAAAATTATGAAAAAATAGCAAAAATGCAAAAAAATGAATTTCTTAAAATTAAACATTTTTCCTTCTTTTTATGGCATTTAGCTTTATTATTTTTGTGCTCTTAAAAAATACTTTACTTATTCAATAGTCTCCACCCTTCGGTAAAAAATCTAAAATTATGGAAAATTATCAAAAATTCAAAAAACCGAATTTCTTAAAATTAAACATTTTTCCTTCTTTTTTATAGCATTTAGCTTTATTATTTTTGTGCTCTTAAAAAATACTTTACCTAATTTGTTATCTCCACCCTTCGGTAAAAAATCTAAAATTATGGAAAATTAGCAAAAATTCAAAAAACCGAATTTCTTAAAATTCAACATTTTTCCTTCTTTTTTATGGCATTTAGCTAATTATTTTTGTTTAATGTAGCAAATTTTTTACTTTACATACTGATCTTTAAATAAAAAACTTTAATAACTTTTCCTGAAAAGCTTGCTTAAAGATTAAAAATCACTATTTTCTTAGAAAAAAGTTGATCTAAAAAAACGAAAAAAAATTTCAAAATGCATCTTTTTTAAAAATTTTATCGTAGAAATGGGTTGTATTTATCTGAAAAAGTTAGCTAAGGATAGTTTTTTCATTCATTTTACAAAAGATAAAAAATTTGCATTTTTTTGTTTTTTTGAATTTTTTGGAAAAATGTCATAACTTTTGTTCAAGTTAATATTTTTTAATCGGATGAGGCTATGATTGTAAGTTACTTTAATACCTAATAGACTGCCAAATTTCACTTTAATTGGTTGAACCGTTTTCAATTGATGCGCGAACAAAGTTTTGCATACAGACAGAGACAGACAGACAGAAATTTTTTTTACATTTTTAGAATTCTAATGTCTCAAAACGAAAAAATATATAAAAATTTTCAAGTTTGGAGCAATGTACAGATAGTAATCTGATTTTATTAATATAGATAATGTTCGTTCACATTAATAACTTTTAGTTTACTATAGCTACACTAAAAAAAGTTATATGATTCAAGTAATTATAATTATTTGAAAAATAATATCTTATTTAAAAAGTTTTTATTTCGATCTAATAAGAATTTATTTCGTTTAAATAATTTTATTTAGTTGAATCAAATAAATCTTAATTGGATTAATTAAATAAATACTTGACTCTAATAAATAAATTTATTTAACACAAATCATTTCTAAATTTTATATTTTTTCATGGATTGCTTCTAAACTTTCTATAGTTGAGTATTACATGTTATTTAACAGGGTGTTTACCAACCAGAAAAGACGTAAAATATCAGGGAATTCAATGTAACCGAGAAAAACTGGATCTACTTGCTATACAATTAGTTCGAATTAGACTGTACTATAACTCAAAAAACTGGAGGAAATTTTAGATTTATTTTAATACATTATATTGATTGAAGTACTACAAATTGAGAAATATTGTTTTCTGCATTTGAATTAGTTAAAAATAACTAATTTGATAATAAAAAGTCGGTCACTGTTTCAAATGGTATTATTTTCCTAATGAAATAGACAATAGTAACTAATTATTATTTTTTCCCTGTCAAATCAAATTCCCGGCTATTTTCCGGTTTTCTAGGTTGGTATAGATACACTGTTAAGTGCATTATCAGAAACTACAACCCGTCGAAGACGGGTACGACAGCTAGTTGAATATAAAAAAGGCACTTGTAAAGCACGTGGTGTTGAAAAAAATGGCAATTTTGAATTAAAAGGAGAACACACTCATACTAAAAATGAAAAGGAAATAAAGAAACGCAAATTCAAACAAGAATTATGCCAAGCTGTTAAAACACAGGATTTAAATTTTAAAAAAATTTATGATTCAACGCGTTTGAAGTGAGTATTATTTTTACAGTTTAAAAAAATTCAAAACTTAAAATAAGAAAATAAAATTTTTTTAAAAAGAACTTTAATATTAAAAGTTAATTTAAATTATATAATATTATAAATATTCGCAATTAAATTACTTGAGCATACTTACATTGTTAAAAATCTGACTTCATATTTACATCAAAAAGATTGAAATGATGTTATTTCAATCTCACAAAGTGTGAATTCTTGCATTTCATTGCCTTCAAGTTTTTAGTGAATCCAATCAAATAAAAGTATTCACACTTTTTGAAATTAAAAGTAAATAATTTTCAATCTTTCGATGTGAAGTTGGAGTCTGATTTTTAACAGTGTAATCATGCATTTAAAATAATATTTTATTTTCAACATTATTTCTTCTTGTTACTTTAGACATACTGAAGCGGCTGTTGACGTCACATTCAATTCGATTGAAAGTTCCATGTATAAATGGCGTAGAAGTACTTTGCCTACCTTGCCCCCGTATCCAGACTGTCTTCGATCCTATGCTGACATAATAAATTCAGAAAATTATCAGGAATGGAAGAATTTTCATGGTGGAGTTTTTACTGTCTCCCCTATTACTAGTGAAGACGGATCGACATCAATAATATTTATTGACGAACAGTTTTCAAGGAAAATTATAACACAGAATAATTCATTGTATCTAGATGCAACGTACAAAATTGTACCAGGAGTATCGGATGCACTCCAATTTCTTACATTAATGATGGTCAAGTATAATCATGTAAGTTAATTTTATTATACATATGTATTATCTTTATATTAATTAGTTTTTAATAGAATCCAAAAATTTGTACGCCATGTACTAAATGCATTTTGTAAAAGTTATCACTGTTTGTTATGTTATATGTGATACAGTTTTTGTCGATTATTCTGCATTATCGACATTGCTCGAAAAAGTTTAATGTTATCTATCAATATTCATCACAGATAGTCCCCTTTTGCCATCTTTTTTCGTTTTTCACATTAATAATACGCATTTTACAATAATACACAGGGATTTCCAATTGCATATGCCCTTATGGAAAATAAATCCGAATTGGCCTATGTATCGGTTTTAGGAGAAATACGAAGAATCCTTCCGGAATTGGAAATTACGTCAGCAATGTCTGATTTTGAAGTAGCATTGCAAAATTCAGTGTTGTACCATTTTCCAAATTCCCAAGTTCGAAGATGCTACTTTCATTTCGTGAAGGTAATATCTTTTTATTGGTTAAATTTAAAGATTACTTTAATAAATATTTATATTGTAATTCATTGGAAAATTATTTCAGTTTAATTTTTAATATAAAAAATGTTAACACTAATTATAATTATAAATTTTTAAATGTAAATATTTTTCAATCAGAGGTACATTTTAAACAATAGAACAGAAAAATTATATAAATTATTATCTTATAATAATTAATTTTATGAACATAATACTAATTTAATAATTTTCATTGTTAGGCTATTTACCTTAAAGGAATGAAACTTGGTTTAAGAAGATATTTCATGCAGAATGACGAAGGAAAGCACACACTGCGTCAGATAATGGCTCTAGCTCTTCTGCCATATGAAGAAATTAATCCAACATATAATGAATTAAAAAATTCGAAAAGCGCCGCATGTCGACGTAGACTAAGGGAATTCTTTAATTACTTCGAAAGACAATGGCTTAGAAGAGTTAGACCAGAAGGATTTAGCGTGTACGGTTTTCAAGATCGAACAAATAACGTCCTTGAATCGTACCATAAAACATTGTTGACAGTTTTCGGTAAAAAACCTAGCATTTGGAATTTTACAAGTAAGTAATCTTTTTTTTTCGAATAATTCACTCTAAATAAAAAATATTTTTCTTCTCTAAATAATTAATCACACGTTGATAAGTTTCATGGAAGTACCGCTTGCAAATTCCATGCATTTTTATTTAGAAAAAATAAGTGTATTGAAAAACGATGCTGGTCTTGATTTATTTTTAAAATATTTAGAGTCAATTTATCAAATATAGGCTTTTTTTTATGAATTTGCACTATTTTTTAATATTAAATAAGACCTGTTTTCCAAACACAGAGAGTCTCAGAAATTTTTTTAAATTTGTACCTTGAAAAACATCACTGGTCTTGACAATTTTTTGAGGCGATTATCAAATTTGTGCTTTTTTTATTTATTTATTTTTAGCTCTTTTTTAATAAAGAAGACTGTTTATTTTAAAACATTGTCACGAGAGAAAACTTCTTATGTAATTGATTAATTTATATATTTATTAAACCTAAATATAATTTTCAAAGTTATTTCGAGAAGGATTTTTCTTTTATCGATTAAATATTAATTTTTTAATATTAAATAAAGTAATTAAAAAAATGTATATACATATAAAATGAAATCACTTAAACTAAAAAATATTATACTTTCCAAAGAATTATCAAAGTAAGTTAAATATTGCAACTTTTATAATAAATTATTCTATCTTCCAGGGACCGTCACGGAATCAAAACAAAATTAAAAAATACTTTTGTTTTGATTCGGATATGGGTATCAGAATCAAAATTCCACTCTATTTAGTTCTGATTCCAATATCAAAATCAAAATTCAACTCTATTTCGTTTTGGTTTCAATATCAAAATCAAAATTCCATTCTATTTAGTTTTGATTCCAATATCAAAATCAAAATTCTTTTTTGTTTTAATTTTGAGAAAATACTACTGCGCATGTATAAGTCTCATTGAACCTAAATTTTGTTGCAAATGTCAAATATATCAGAAGATAATATCGTTTTTACATACGAAATCTTAAATAGAATTCGAATCGACTTCTGTTTCTATAAGAAAACCGAATTGCAGTATTATAATATCAGAATCAAAATAGGAAGTAAATTTTGTTTCGTTAACGTATCAGAATCAATATAGGAAGTGAATTTTGTTTCGTTACATTATCGGAATCAAAATAGGAAGTGAATTTTGTTTCGTTACAATATCGGAATCGAAATAGAAAGTGAATTTTGTTTCGTTACAGTATCGGAATCAAAATAGAAAGTAAATTTTGTTTCGTTACAGTATCAGAATCAAAATAGAAAGTAAATTTTGTTTCGTTACCGAATCAAAATCAAAATACATTAATAATTTTGTTTTGTTTTGGAATATCGTAACGAAATCAAAATTTGATTTCCGTGACGGTCCCTGTTATCTTCGAGCCCAGCTGTAAATTGTGCTATCTCAATGTTAGCTTACTTGTTTGGCTTGATTTATTATGAATAGATTTTTGTGTATATTGTTTAAAGTACAAAATAAATTTTATAATGATACGTAATAATTTTATAGAAATTATTTTTTATTAATTGTTGTATGTTTTTATCCAAGAACGTGCAAAACAGTCAAATTTTAAATAGTACGGTTTATAGCTCAACGTAAAGACAGAACAGTTTTACAGTGAAGTATTAAATTGATTTTTTTGTCTATAAACTCGACAATAGCTGTTTAATTAAATAAAAATAAGTTTAATTTAATAGCGTATTATTATTATTATTATTTCTTATCATTGTTTCAGAAAAACTAGGAGAATTCCAACAGGGATTATTGTTAGACTTTGCGTCTTTGTCGAAAGGCAATAGGGTTACTAGACCGCAAAAGAAAATAATCCTTATGAGGAACGAATATATAATTCATCAATGGCGAAATCTGCAACAGGACAACAGACCAACTGCACTAGAATTCCTCGAGAATATAATCAATTTTAATACAGATCCATTCAATGAATATGTGGCAATATTCGAATTATAAAAACCAGGGTGGCCATTTTTTTCATAAAAAAAATTCACAATTTTTTCCCGGCTATATTTTGGCTAGTTTTTTAAGGGCTTTTTATAAGCGGTTTAAACAATTTTATAAATAGTATATTTACTATATTTGTGAGTGTCATTATTGTCTATAAAAATCCGACCGAATCTATTATCAGCTTACATAAGAGGACAGCGGAATATTTACTTATTATAATCTATCTATTATAGTATTGCATTCAGCGTAATAGGATCTTGCTCCTTTACTTGATATTTTAATATGATTTTTAGTTATTCTTATTCTAAAACGATTTTTTGGGAGATCATTCACTCTTTATTAATGAAAAAATAGTTAATAAGTTTTAAAGTAATTATTTCTATTTTTTCGCAAAAAATGATTAGTGTCATAAAAAAATAATTGCTTTTAAAAAATAATTTAAAAATTCACGGTCAAAATAAGAATTTACTATCTTTTCCCGGTTCAGCGGCCACCCAGATTAAAACGTATTTTTAAGTTTTTGTATAATAACTTTTTGGAAAAAATTTTGTTGTTCATAAAAATAAAATGTTTGCCAAGAAGTCACTTATTTTTATAAATATGTAATAAAATTCTTTGGAAAAATATAATTAGTTTCAAAACTTTTTATACAATTTTTTAGAGGAATTCAATTTTATCCAATACAATTTTAATTAAATTCCTCTCAAATTCTATTTGAAACTTTATGAATTTATTATTTATTTTATTATCTGAATTAGTTAAAATTTCAGCTTTTTGAAACTAAAATGATATAAAAATTCTGAGTTATTTTTTCTATTTTACATAGATGAAGACATAAATATAAATAAAAAACATTGTTTTTTTATAAAACAAATACCATTAACGAAATTAAATTATATTATTAAAGAATGAAATTGGAGTAATTTGAGTTTGAGATATTTTTTTAGTTCAGCTTCGGCCACAAGCTAGATTTGGCACCACCTTCTAGACCACTGACACTTAGATCCAATTTGTCTGTGTGCTCGACACTATATTATCTGCCACTTTCGACAAAAGTGTAATTTTTAAACTTTTTTTCAATACTTATTTCAAAAATTACTTTCAGTAATGAAAATTAATTTTTCTACAACAAATTCAAATTATTTATTTTTATATTTTAGAATGTTAATTTAAAGTTACAAATAAAATTATAATTCTTATTTTCAATTCATTTTCTTTAAATTAATTTTGTTAACTTTTAATCTTGAAAGCATTAAATTCGAATTTAATTAATTTTGATATTAAAAACATTTAAGTACAAAATTATCCAGAAAACTAGGAAACATAGAAACAAAACTAAAAGAATTTACTTCAAACTTCGAAAGGCTTTAATATTAAAATAGAGATGCATTTTATCACTTTTATTGTTACTGAATTATTTTATCATTACTAAACATTTTTAATAATATAAATAAAGTAAAATAAATATTGATGGTCATAATTAATAAATATTGTTTTCTGTGGCTAATAAAAGAAAAAGATTTATTATTTTAGAATTCAAATTTTGGCGCTATTATATTTTGGCAATGAAGAATTGGAAAACAGAGACACCTACTCTACTTTACCGACGTATTCAAACTATAATCCAATATCTCATGGATGGGTATGTAAAGTCAAAATTTCTTAGTTCCGCCATTTTATGTCAAATGGGATTTATATCAAAAAGAATATAGTTCAATTAATACTTATTATATTTAAAAGTTATGCTTTATGTTACTTCTGTTAAAGGCAAGTTATGTTTACAAACACTTATGAAACATAAAAATTATATTATTTAAAATTTATAAAATATAACATTTCTTAAAAGACAATTTATATTAAATAAAGTTTATGTCTTATAAAATTTATAGTAAATGGTTTTTATATCAAATGAAACCTATGTCAAATAAATTTTTTGACAGATGAAAATTATATTTGATAAATTTTATGTCAAATGAGACTTATGACAGATGAGTTTTACATCAAGTGAGAATTCTGTAAAATGTGTTTATGTCAAATAAGAATTATACCTAGTAAAATTTATGCCAAATACACCTTATATTATATAATTTTTATGTTAAATAAAAATTATAACAATAGAATTTTATAACAAATTTAATTTAGGCCAATAAACTTTTATGTCAAGTGAAAAATATGGCATTTTAGATTTATGACAAATTATATTTATGGTAAGTAAATATTATATTAAATGCAATTTAGGTTAAGTTAAATTTAAGACAACTAACTTTTATGTTTACAAAAATATATGTCTAATTAGAATTATGTTAATTGAGTTTTATGTTTAATAACAATTATATTAATTGAATTTTATGTCAAATAAGAATTATATAGAAAGAAATTTATGTCAATTAGGAATTATGACAAATTATATTTATATTTATTGAGACTTATGTGAAACCAAATTTCTGTAAAGTAGAATATATTACAGGTGATTTTTATGTAATATGAACTTTATATAAAATGTGTTATATGTTAAGTAAAAACTATGACTAGAAAATTTAATATTAAATAAAATGTATGGTAAATAAGTTTTATACTAAATGAAACTTATGTTCGGTAACAATTATTTTAAATTAAAATTATAAAAAGTATGTATTATGACAAATGAGACATATGTCTAGCGCGTTCTATGTTAAGTATGATTTATGTCAAATGAAATTTATCTTTAATCAAACTTATACCTAATAACAATTATTTCAATTAAAATTTATGTCAAATATGTTTTAGACTAAATGGAAGCTATATCGAGTGAAAATTATTTGAAATTAAAATTATAAGAAGTAAGTTTTGTGACAAATAAGATTTATGTCAAATAAATTCTATTATAAGTGAGAATTATATAAAGTGAAAATTATCATTTATAAAACTTATGTCAAATAAAACTTATTTCATTTGAAAATTATGACAAATAAATTTTATACTAAATGAAACTTATATTCAGTAACATTTATGTTATACTAAAATTATATTAAGTATGAAATCTAGTAAATTAGAAGTATTTCTAGTAAGTTTTATGCCAAGAACAAATTATGTCAAATGCTATTTATTTTTCATGAAACTTATGTCAAATATAAATTATTTTTATTAGAATTGATGTCAAATTTTTGTTATTTTAAATAAAACATATGTCAATTATATTTTATATAAAGTAACATTTCTGTAATATAAAATTTAGTTAAAACAAAATTTTTGACAACTGATTTTTACGTCAAATATGATTTATGTTAAATTAAGTTTATGGTATGTAAACTTTATGTAAAATTAATTTTATGTCAAAAAGAATTTATGTCAAGTATATTTTATGTTAACTACAAAGTATTTCAAATGGAAATTATAACTAATGTGTGTTATGTCCAGTAAGATTTCTGACTCATGTTAATTATATTAAATGATTTTATGTTAAATAAGACTTATGTCTTATAAGATTTGGGCATTTTTCATGCGTCTCTGAATATGTCATGATAAGAATGCACTATTTTTTGGATAATATCTTTAAACTCTGTCTCAATATGATCCAACCGAGTGTTTTCGCTTAAAAGTTTTAAACGTTCTGCCAATTTGCTGTGTGTTATAGGGTGTATTTCATTAGCGTCGGTATTAAATTTAAAAGGTTGGTATTCTAGTTCGTTAGCATTAATGTGCTTAAATTGTGTGGAGTCATTGCAAATAGGAATCGTGATTGATCTGTTGTTTATTGTATATATAGAATCTGGAACGTGAGGATTATCGAAGATTGGGACATTACCACTTTTTTCAAAAACAGGGATTTTAATTAATTTTATTTGATTAGGCGGTACGATGAATCCGTCATCCACGAGTGGGTGTTTGTTTCCGTCCAGCTTCAAATTCACGTTTGTTAAGTTATAATTGTATTGTTGCATGAAAGGTAAGCCTAATATACCATCTTCAGGTAAAGAGAAATTATCGTCGACAATATAAAATGTGTGAATTTTATCTAAATATTTTATTGAAATCTTTTCTTCGGATGTTGCTCTCCAATTTCCCATCTGAAATTCTTTTTTGCATAATTCTCTTGGTACAGATGAATGTACTAAAGAATTTTTTATAATGTTTAGTGATGATCCGGAGTCCACAAGTAATCGGAGGGATTGTTCGAATCCTGTCGGTCGTACGAATACTGACTGTAATCGTCCGGAGATTCGAGTAATTCTGTCAATGGTTGTTCCACTGTTTCGATCGGTTCCTGCGTGTCCGCGATTTTCTCTTCCGCTGAATTGGTTTCTTCCGTATAATGAATTCGATTTGGTTGGCATTTCATTTGGGGATTTAATTGAAAATTTTGATTCCTTTTTAGATAACATTGGGTTTCCGTGTGACCTGATTTTTTGCAAAAATCACAAGATACATTTGTTAGGACGATTAGGATTACTTAAATTTCCCATATTTGAAGAAACGGGTCTGTTATTATTGGAATGGCTGGTATTTGAAAAACCGGGTCTAGCGTTTGCGGCATGATTGAAAGTAGTGGGGTGTGATATTTTCGATGGTATCCTTGGCGCAACATTTGTTCTCAATCGAGCTTTTTCTCGTAACCTAGTTTCGATTTCTAAAGCTTGTTGATGAGCTTTACTGATAGTATTGGGTTGAAACGTCCACATTAGGAATGTGATATCGTCTTGCAGGTTCATTATATATTTTTTAATGGCGGATGTTTCCTCTAACTGTAAAGCAATACTTCGGGTTGTAGGGTTCGAATGTTCGGCTTGTATGGCATAATTTAACTCGTTTAAAGCTTGACGATATCGTACATTATAATTCTGTACACTGTCACTACCTTGTCGACAATGGTCTAATTTTGCGCGGCAGAGTTCCACTGATAAACCGAGATTCATATTCTCTTGTAAAGCGGTATATAAATCGTCATATGAGTTAATGGGAATGTATCGAATTGCGCGCTTAGCATCTCCGATGATTTTTTCTGTTATTATAAGGCCCAGTAAAAGTTCGGATTGACTGCACCTTTGTTCCGCTCTTTTAACGCGAAGAATAAAATCTCGCACTCCTACATCGTCTTTACCATTAAGAACCTCTATAGTGCGTACGATATCCTTAGCAGGTAGTAGAGTGCTATGAAGGGTGTTTGGCGGTACCGAGGGATCTGTCGCAAGGCCCGTTTTGCTAACTGAC